TTATAATTATATTGCTATAATTAATAAAAAAAAATAAAATAAAAACAAATACTCAATAATTACAAATATTCAAAAATTCAAAAGTGAAAAAAAAAGCGAAAAAAAGTGGTTTAAGCCCACTTAGACGTCAAATATAGGTATTATGTGCAGTTTTTATTGTCATTTGGCCATAGCTTTGGCCATTGCTTGCTTGTGTTGGCGGGAGTACTAGCTAATCCAGTTTTCAATTGTTTTCAACTTCGGTATGTCACTCTCCTCTAGCTCACCTGTTTTTACTTTTTTTTGTAATGCCTCGAGCATTCCTTTTGCAGAATATCGTTCACTTTTATGGGTGTCACCAGCATGGAAAAAACCTTTCAATAATTCCATTATTCCTTCAGGTATGTGTTTTCTGCCACCTTTTTTTCCATATTCCTGGTTTTCTTTTAAAGCCCAACCGACTTGAAAATAGTTGTTTTTAAAGAAATAACATATATCTGATATTATTATTGCAGGTTATAACGATATTTTTCTATTTTTTTTGAAGTAGTCGCACTCACTCGTTTTCTTTTCCCTTTGCCTTTTTTTTTACCTTTCCTTTCTTCGTTCTTAACTCTGTAATGTTATTATTTTCCTTATTTTCCATTGTATCAATTGCCTTTCTTGCCTCTATGTAATAAAAATGATTAGTTGAATTTTATTGCAAGTTAATTTGCAAAAAAAAAATAATTTATTACCTGCTATTTTATTTTTTGTCTCACATGCAATATTTTCTCTCAAAATTGCAATTAACTCTTGCCGATTTTCTTTTTCATCATAAAATAGAGATCTTCTTTCTAGCTCTTCTTTGATATTATTCTTTGTCAACCTGTTTAGTTCAGCTATTTCGTTTTGGAAGTTATCGTTCTGATTTGTTGATGGTATTGGAATTATCCATTTTGAATTTAGATTTGTAGATGTAGAAATTGAGGGATTTGGTCGAAATTGCTCATCACCTTTCATTGATTTACAAATAGCGGAGGGAGAGAAATCGTTCCATATTCCAAAGTTGGGAAGAGTTCTACCACGTACAAAACCACTAAATTCTCCTTCAATAGGCTACTGAAATTTAAACCAATTGGAAATACCAGTCATCACAGGTTTTTTTCTTTTTTCCTTTCGATCTGGTTTAATATTTGCAATCGTTGCTCCCCTAATACCTTTGATCGCTTCTTCTATGTCTTGACCTTCAGATATATCGTATCCTAGCCTAACATACCATTTGATTGCATGAAAAATCTAGAAATAAGCCACAATAGAAGTTTATAAGTCACAGTTATAATTTACAACACAACTATCATACTAAATAACCTGAGCATGATATGAATCGATCGTTGTTTTGACCTCTTCCGCCTCTAAAAAAATCCAACTTCGGATTTCCACATCATACCAGGATTTCCAGTTTGTAATCATAGCCATTAATTCAGCACAATAGTAGTGAGCGCTATTATCAGATAGGATTCTTACCCATTTTGGTTTTTTTTCAAATGAATTAAAGACAACTTCAAAACATGAAGCTGTGAACAACACATCTTGAACTGTGTCTGAAGACAAATGATCAAAGGCTTTTATTTCTAATTCATGATTATTGGCTTTTGTATATATTAATATTGTATGTAATGTCTATCCAGATTTTCCATAGAAATCTGATTTTACCTCTCGTACTGATTTTAGCAAAATCTTCATTTTATAATCTACGATTATTATAGCACCTTCTTCATCAAGAGAAAGCAAATTTGCATTAAATTGAGCATTGAGGTATGTCTTGCATACTTGATGAGACCAGTAATATTGAAGTTTTTTTCGATTTTCCATGATTTGCTCAAAATTATCTGGTATGATATAAGCTAATTGACAAAAAAATTCTGATACTTTGTTACATTGATCACAATTAGAAAAGTGGGGCTTAACACATTCTCTGAAAGCATATGGAAGACAATGCTCAAGACATTCAACGTGATAAGATCGTCCTAGGCAATCTATTTGAAGTTCTTTTTCATATTCACACTTTAAATGCCGACGAACAGATTCAAGCTCTGTAATTAATTGATTCTAATAATGTATTTTTGAATATTTGTAATTATTGAGTATTTGTTTTTATTTTATTTTTTTTTATTAATTATAGCAATATAATTATAA